GAGAGAGAGAGAGAGAGAGAGAGAGAGAGAGAGAGAGAGAATATGCACTGTCATTTCCATTGGGTACAACCTAGAAGTGGGTTAGTAGTCTGTTTTAATTGTAGTTCTGGTAATAGTATGCCCTAGGAATTTCATCTCTAATCCTAAAATCCAAAATGCTTCAAAATCTGAAATGTTTTGAGGGCTGACATGAAACCATTAGTGGAAAATTCCACATCTGACCTTATGGGATAGGTCACAGTCAAAATGCAGTACACTAAAAATATCAAATAAAATTCCCTTCAGGCCATGTGTGCAGAGTGTATATAAAACATAAATGAGTTTCATGCTTAGAATTAGGCCCCATCCCCCAAGATATCTCATTATGTATATGCAAATATTCTAAAATTTTAAAAACCCAAATTCTGATCTAAAGCATTTTGGATAAAAGATTCTCAACCTATAGCGTATAGCAATAACACAAGCATAAAATACAATATAAATCTAATATTCTAGTATTAGATGACTATATTAGTTATCATAGCATTTTAGCACTCATAGTAAATATTAATGTTTATGAATTTTTTAAATATATACACACGTTTGTAGTATTACATTACAACACGTTTTTGTGTAATTATGTGAAAGGACAAAAGTATATATTTGTACTTCTAGTTGTACTATTAGAGTTACTTGTTCTTAATTAGCTTAAGCTTCAATACCTTTCAGTATTGAAGGTACAAGCAAAAGTTGTCTAGATATGTAATGATTTATCTTGTAAAATGTAAGTGCCACTTGATCTACGGATTTGATTAATTAATCCCATTCCTGTTGTTAAACATCCTGTCAAGTAATACTCCAAAAGCCTGAGAGGTATCTGAATTGCTGGAGATGGATAAAAGGGGAGGCTTATTTAGGGCCAGCTCCAGTCTTTTTCCCTGCTAACTCATCATTCAAACCTTTTTCCTCTCTAGCCGCCACTTGAGATTACATTCAAAGCATCGTGCACAACTGCCATTTTAAAAACTTTCAGGAAAGCAAACTCTAAAAATCTCACTACATATCAGTGCCTGAAGTGGACTTAGCTCATGATAAAATCTAGAGATCCAAGGCCCTTACACAGTATTTGAGAACACACTAGCAACAAAAGGCCAAGTCTGGAACCAGATGTGCTAGACCAAGTTCAAAGCTTTTTCACAGATTACTTCAATCACCTGTTTTGAAAGACAGCAAATTCATTCCTTGTTTATAAAACTGAGTTGTTTCTTACCACCACTTATGCTGATTTCCGTTTGTTCTTCTGGTAGAGATGGTAAATATTTGATAAGACCATATCTCAAAATCTTAAAAATAAGCAAGGTGCAGTTCTGCTGTTTCCTGAAAGACATGATACTCAGCAAGATGGTGGTTCCAAGAAAAAGGAGGTGTGGGTAGATAAGGTGATTTCCTAAAATCTTTAAGAAAAAAAAATGATGTTTGTATTTGTGATTTGGAAAATATGGCACCAAAACCCCTCTTCTATAAATGCATGTAGTTTTTCTACTTTATTCCCTATTTTACATTTTACCTAAAGACGGAAGAATTATTCCAAACCTGGCTTTAAACAATGTCGCCAGGACAATGGCAGTACCATCAAAATATAGTGCATTCCAATCCCAGCTCCTCATTGACACGTCCATAAATTTGTCCATCAAGTAACCACCGTCTTAGCTTTCTCCAAAAGAAAAGCAAATTAAGTACTGCTGACTCCCGTTGGAAAATCATATAAATATGTGGAATATCATTCAGGAAAAGTCCCATTAAAAACTGTAGTGATTTCAACGTGTAAGATGATTTTTGGATTTTAGAGACTCTGAAGAGGGGCTTTGTGAAGAAGCAGGACAATCCATCTACAATGGTAAGTATGGACTCTGTTCTGCTCTACCTGAAGAGCAATACAGCTGTTGCGGGGGGTGGTATACACACATAACAATGCTTGCATATCTCTAAAGTGTCTGCAAAACACCTTTTAGTTGTTACAAGGGAGTACAGAAGGCCCAAAAGAAAGCGCCAGCTCGGAGCCCACAAGCTCACCAATACTCAAAAATTATCTTCTGTTAGTGGTGCTCAGCCAAGGACCACTGCTATGGGAAAAGCGCTTTATAAAATGTGTGCATTTATATATGTGTGTGTCTGTGTGTGAGGGTGCACACCCTCATGTGTTTTCCGTTTGGCAAGGGACTGTGTGATATAAAAGACAGGTTAGTATAAATGAGTGTATGTGTGATTCTGAATCAAAACATGAGTGAAATTCCCCAGGGTAGCTCTGGAAACATGTGGATGCCTAATGTCATATGCGGTTGTGCAAATCTAAGGATTTGTGTAGATGTTCAAATATGCAATTGTGTCTTTGTGTGTGTGTGTGTGTGTGCGCGTGTGGGTGTGGGTGTTCCAGACTAATTTTACATGACCCTCACCTGATTATTTGACAGAGTGCTACAGCCATGGGGCCAGCTTTGAGGATGACTTGACCCTTGGAGCAGAGGGTAAGTGACACAGCTCTCTGAGGTTGAGACAAGGGAAGAAGCTACAAATTGGATGAATTAAGAAAAGTATGGAAGGGGAAACTTCAGAAAGAAGCAGGCTCTCCCTGGGGTTCTTTTTGTAGAGAAAGAATGGTCTCATTATTCTCATGCAAAAACAGAAAGCGGGAAATGCTCAGGCACACTTCCTCGCCAGCCTATCATGACTCCTAAAGGTCCCTCCCTGGAGCTTGCCTTTGGCTCCTGGGAAGATAACATAAAAATCAATGGAATATTTGTTGCCCACACATCTTTAAGACTGTTTTCTCTATAGAAAGCCTGAAGAAGACTGAGTCCTGGGTTTAAGAGAGATTGTTCTGCAGGAAGAAGGGACTTGAGTACAGCAAGAAGGCCCAACCACCTACCATTTCTCCTGGACCTATAGAGAGCCTTGTGGTGGGTCAGGAACAGGAGCCTTGAGAGCAGAATGACTGTCCACCTCAGGATGGGGGTTGGGGAGTTCTTACCTAGACATCAGTCATGGGTTAAAAGTTCAGAGGTCAGGTGTCTTCTGCCTTATCTGTCCCCCTTCTAAACTATGCTAAATAATCTTAAGGCCCACTAGGAGAAGAATTCTTGGGGTCCAGCTAGCCTGTAGCACTGGTGTAGGGGAATAGAAGGGCTGTTTTAAGTTCAGAGGAGCAACTCCAGTGATTTTCATTTTCCCTTTTAACATGTTCTTTGTCTTTCTGTTCCTGTCCAGCCACACTGCTGGCCGCCAATGGAAAACTCTTCCCCAGGTAAGTATTAGGGTCAGTCAGGGTAAATGATATCTACTTTAGGAGACAGAAAACTAGAGTCAGACCAGAATCAAAGAAATTAACAACCGATTCATAATAGAGACTGAAATTTTCTAAGCAGCAATGAGGACATAGACTGAGTTTCTTCCACAAATAGTTCAAAGGCATCCAGCAGAGGGTGGATATACCCAGTGGGGGATGCTTGGTGCCAGGGTGCAGGCTGGCAATGAGGTTTATATGACATCAGCTTTGATCTCTGCAGGAGTTTTCTCCACACACCCAGGCCTGGACAGCTACTTGATCTTGGCTGTAGTTTGGCATCCAGCAGCATGACTGGTGGGACGAACAAGACTAGTTCAAGGTAAGTACTAAGTTCAGTAGGACTGGGAGGGTGAGGAAGATAAGAGGCAGAGGAGAATGGACCTAAGTGCTATTTCCCTTTTTTCTGGAATGTCTCACTGGAGCTTTTATGCACTCTTGAAAAATATGACCATTTTTTGCTTTAAGAACAGTGGGGGATGCAGGGAACTGGATCCTATATATAAAATACAGGTATCTTCTCCCACCGAACATTCTACTCCAGGAGGTATAGTAATGTTACCGTCACAGAGCCAGCCAAGACCCACAGTAAGTACTCAATAAACAGTGTATTGATCCATCAACTAATTTGTTGATTGAATGAAGCAATAAAATATCAGTTAATGCTGGTCATTCAATCACTATAGAATTTAAAAAGCCGAAGCAGACAGACTGACTCTGAGGGGCTCAACTAGAGGGTGGACAAAACATATGCACAAACATTAAACAAGAGAAAAGTGATGAAATATTGAAAATTGGAGTCAAATTTTTAATTCGAGACCTGGTTCTGAGACTTAAACTTTGTCACATGACTGTGTTTAGAGACTCATCCTCCCTGAGCTGTATAGCTTGAGCTATACCCAGTTCAACTCAATGAGAATGTCAGGAAAGAGGATTCAGGTGTCTGAATTATTTTTTTAAAGGCCCATATGCAGCCATGTCTGTGAATCACTCTCCAGTCATATGTCTGCAATTCACAAATAGGGACACTCAGGACCATGGAGATAAAATGAGCACTTAGCTAGTGAGCACAAGAGTAGATTCAGGATTCTAACCCTTCAGCTATGAATTAAGCAAGACCATCCCTATTTGGATCAAAAAACCCAGCATCATTTCTGAAATGAGTGATGATGTTTATCTAAAAACCTCAAATAATCCATAACTACACTGTCCCCATTGTCTGAAATGCATTTATTGACCATTGGTGTCACCAGCAGGACTCAGATTTGAATGTAGGTAGAGGTTGGTGCCAGAGAGAAAGAAAGAGAGAGTGAACACTTGATCTTCTGTGACCCAGGGCTTCTCTCCTGAAAATAGTGCTAGCAAGAGGTATATTTTCCATAATCAGGATTTGAATGCACCTACTGATTTGTTTTTGCCTCCAGAGTGAGAATAAAAGCAGGCCTATGTTTCTTAAGCACTCATCGTTTAAC